AGAGAGAGAGAGAGAGAGAGAGAGAGAGAGAGAGGAGAGAGAGAGACCCAGACCCACAAAGATGTTCAGGACACACACTCCCATTCCCAAGGTCTCACAGCAGTCCCCTTGGGCCCCTTGGGCCCTAGAACTGAGCACACATCCAGGGAAATCTCCCACAAGACCCACCCCCAAGACAGGAACATGCCCCACCATGGCTGTTCTCGCCAAGGTAGGAGGCTATCACCATTGCTAATGCCTGAGCCATCCACACAGGGACCCAAAGCACCAAGCAAACATTTAAAGCTGCCTGTGACCCAAATCTATAGTCTATGCCATCCTCCTTCTAGAGCTCCTTACCATACCCACCTCCTACCAGATCTCCCAAGGTATCCACCGGCCAGAGCCCTACTCCAAGGAAGAGGCAGCCATGCCTCGAGAACACGGATGTTGTATTGACTAAGCCCCCAAGGATAAAGTGGCAACCTGAAGCTTTTCCTACAAGTCTGGTGGTGGCCAGGAAATGGTGATCCCAGGGAATCCACCTACTTTGTCTCTTCTCATTCATAGTTCCTTCAAGAATGTTCTATTGTACTTAAATATTTCATATGATCTGTAACTCTTGACATGGTGGTGACGGGTCCAAGTTAAATGACGGAATCTTACAGACTCATTTTCAACAGCATATACCTACAGGTATTTTAACAATTTCAGCCTGTGATGGTAAGAAGAATAAGGCTCAGCACTTGTAAGCAGGATGAGCCTACCCAGAAGGCACAGGGAACGCACCAGAAGGCAACACCCAAAGAGAAAACACTGGCCTATTCACATTATCTGGGCTCTCTTCTCTATGTTTAAGTGCATTAATTTTCTTCTGTAAGCAGGATGAGCCTACCCAGAAGGCGCAGGGAACGCACCAGAAGGCAACACCCGAAGAGAAAACACTGGCCTGTTCACATTATCTGGGCTCTCTTCTCTATGTTTAAGTGCATTAATTTTCTTTCTGGTTGCTTGTAAATTGCTTTTACAGCAAAATAAACCTGCTTTTTAGGAGATCTGTTTTGTATGTATGGGGGTGGGGTGTGTACACATTTGTGGGGACCAGAGATCAAAGCCAGGTATCTTCCTCAAGCATTTCTCCACTTTTGTTTTTTGAGTCACTGAACCTAGACATTGTCAGTTTGGCTAAACTGACTGGCTAATGGGGTTTGAGGCTCTTCCATCCCAGCTCTGTCTACCTCAGCACTGAGATTACAGATAAAATACTGCCACACACCACCTTTAAACTTTATCATAGAAGTAGCCTTCTCTGGTTTGTTTTCATTTTTGTTGTTGTTGTTGTTGTTGTATCAAGACAGACTGGTCTTGAACTCAGAGCCATCCTCCTGCTTCCTTCCCTGAGTGCTGGGATCACCACAATACCAGGCTTCTCTTTGTTTTATAAAAAATTAAATAAAATAAACTTGGTGTATTCTAAGTCATAGGCTCAGGATGGAATAGAGGAAATGTGTCTAAAGACCCCGTGTGTGGATAAGCTAGCTGAAGGGACAGCCGGAAGCACCCACCTTCTGTGAGGGACTTCCTGGCCAGCATTCCAGGAAGCCCCGGCTCAGGTGAGGCAGGAAAGGAGACAGCACTCAGAACATGGCATAGAGAGTTTGATGGCCACCTCCCATTGAGAGGATGGGTGGACACGTAAGTGTGGAGTCTGCCCAAAGGCGAGCATGAAGAGGGGAGGTTAATGTGTTTTAAAGCCACTTGGCCCAAATGAAATTATATAATTCAGGAAGGAACAAATCACACTGCTGATGAGAGTTTTTTTTTTTTAAGGTAAAAAGAAAGGAAAGCAAAAAAGACGGAGTGTCTTGATGAGGGAGGAGTCGCAGTTGGGGGCTGCAGGCTATAAGCAAAGACGCCATCTCAAGGAGGGGACGGGGGCGTCCATTGCCTCCTTGTTGGCTTATAAAAGGTGGGCAGCCAGGCAGGCCTCACCTCACACCCAGGCAGCTTGTCGCCACACTCAAAGGATAGCTGGTGAGTAGCTTGGCAGTGTTAGAGGGGTGGGTGTTGCTGTGTCCGCCAGCTCCTCTGCAAGGCTATTCTCTGTCAGGCTTACTGGGAAGCCAGGTGTGAGCACCAAGCAGAGAGCTACTTATGGTCTGTGGTCCAGGATCATGCACCCTCCTGGGGACTCTGACACTCCAGAGCTGTCCATGGTGGAGGGCAGGTGAAGGTGTCCCTCAATGGAACACTTCTCATCTCAAGCAGAGCCCAAAGAGCACACTGGGCAGACAGGTCTGCAATGCTCCTGTGATCGGGTTCCTGGGGCTCAGGAACCAGGGTCAACTAGCACCCATCACCTAGCCTGAGTGGATGAAGTCTTTATAACGATTCGTGATGGCACCACCATTTCCTCTAGTTGGGTCTCCCCTGCTCTATGTGGGACACCCCAGCAGTGCTGTGAAGAGGAGAGAGTGGGCATTTTAAACTCTGATGGACGGCTCTTTCTGTACAGTCAAGGAGGGGCTAGAAAGTAAAGGTCAGCTAAAGGGTCTTCAGATGAAGCCTGGAGCATCTTCTAATGGAATCTGAAATGTCAGGGGTGGGGACAGGAGGAGTACTCCAACGAGTACCCCTTCACGCACACAGCAGCAGCCCTCTCCTGTCATTCCAAAGGGCTCTGTGAGGAGAGGCATGCGTGCAGACTCATTCTGGAGTCTCAGCAGGCTAGGTCTGAAGTCCTGGGTTATTGTGGGGGCTGTGGGGTGTGCACTCACTAGGGATGGAGGAGGCTAAGTATCCTCTGTTGCCTGCCTGGCTCTCAGTGTCAGGAGATCCTGGGCCAAGTGCGGAGAAGGACCATGCAGTGAGGTCCCAAACCCTAACTACTTCTCAGGTGGAACAAATTGTTCCCCCGCCTCTGCTGCCCCCCAGACCGCCACATAAACCTGCTCCCCACCAAGATCTGGGTGCCTACCTCCCGGCTCATCACACAGATGGACAGACAGGCTCAAGAATGTCCCAAGGCAGCCACCTGTGCACGGCTCACACACCTCTCTCCTGAGAAGTGTAGCTATGTGCCCCAAACACATGCATTTGTATACCTGGCATGCACATGCATGTACCAAGCACACGAGCATCTGCATACACAACCTAGGGTCCCAGCTTTGTGCATACAACTTACTCTTACATGTCTATCCCCAGGCTATAGCATCCCCTGTGAGATCCCATCTCCAGAGCATCGTCGAGGAAGTCAGGAGCATGGCAACTCTGAGGGCATGGCTCCTGTGCTTGCTGCTGTTAGCCTTGGTCCTCCCAGGAGCTTCCAGCCGAGCCCACCAGCACTCCATGGAAACACGAAGTAAGTGTCTGGCTTATAGTGGGCAGCCTCCCTCGACCTCCCCTCCGTACCCTTCCTAGATGCCTTGAGTGCCCAGAACCTGAATGGGACTTGACCATCTCCTAAGCCAAAGCTACCTTGCCATGTGCTCAGTCTGGAGGTTGAGCTCTTGGTAATAAGATCCTGTTGAATGGGCCTCTCCTCATAATGGTCCTGTCCCCCTGTCCTCACCATGCCCCTACCCATCTTATCTGGGTCCCTTAAGAACTTGGCAGGGCGGGGAAGGGGGGTGGAGTGGGACAAGAAGGAAATATTGCTCCTGGTATACATTGAATTAATTTTCCAAAGCCATACCACTGCCCAGATATCCCCTGGATCACATTGGGTGCCAACATGGCCTGGTGCTTAGGTTTCCATCAGCTTAGGTGTTCCGTGTGGAAGACACTGCACCTGTGTGTCTTGCATCCCATATGCTGCCCTGGCTCTTTCCTCTCCAGCCCCTGACATCAATCCAGCCTGGTACACAGGCCGTGGGATCAGGCCTGTGGGCCGCTTCGGCAGGAGGAGGGTAGCCCTGAGGGATGTCACCGTACCTGGCCTGCGGTGCCGGCTAAGCTGCCTCACGCTGGATGGAGGTGCCAAGTCCTCTCAGCATGGATGACAGCCCAGCTCATGAAGACAGTGATGCTGGGCCCAACACCCTCCCTCTCCCTACAGAGCCTCCCCCACCCTCCCTTTTCTCTGCTTTTCCTTGAATCTAATAAAAGTGCTGGCCTTGTTTACTGTACACCTGTAGCCGTGTGATAACAAAGATGTTTTCCCTGGGGGGAGGGGGTTAACCAGGAAAGAAACTCAGAGCCCAGCGTCCTCTTTGGAAAGAAGAGGCTCCGACCTGCCCCCAAAACAGCCGAGACCTCCTCACCAGTCCCTGCAGAGCTTGACCTGGTCCCTTGATAACCTGCATGAAGGGAAGGGAGTGAAAATTGACATCAGTGTTCCTGTAAATTCTTGTTCCCCCAAAGCCACACCACTGCCCAGAAATGGGGTGCCCCTTCCTTGGTCACTTGCTCCCACAAGCTCCTACCCACCCAAAGTACCCTGAATGCATACTCAGCTTGCACACTGCATAAAGCCAGGGGGACCACATACTACAGTATTAAGATACTTGATCCCAAAGAATGGCTGCACAGTGTCCCTGTCATGACCCATGTCCTTCTCGCAACATTTCTAAGACTAATGTTTAGAGCTATTTTGGATATGCTGCAAAAATTAGAAGATACAGGGATGGTACAAGGAGCCCCGTCCTTGGAGATCCATTCCCAGCACCCAGCAGAACAAGGAACATTCATTCAGGCCCACGAAGCCAAATAGTGCCAACACCCAGAACCTGTAGTATCCATTCGGTTCATGTTCACCACTATGTCTGCTGTTCGGCAAAGGCATTGCTTGGCTTCACCAGTACAGTGACACATGGTATCACCACCATGAACATACCCTGCTTCTTGTCCCTTGCAGAATCCTGGCAGCCACTTACACATGTGGTCACATCACCCTCCTTCCTGCTCAGGGGAGAATCCCAGAGAGACTTGACCCCAATCATTTGGATCCTTTTATGTCCCCCTTTAAGTCACACGGGATGTCTCTGTGACCTTCCTTAAACAATTTGGAATCAGGGCACACACACACACCCTACTTGGGTACCCGAGTCAGAGTACCCAACACTGCTGGTGTCCTTAGAGAAGGGGGAAACTCAGGATTTTAGGGACTCCATGGGAAGCTGGGGCAGCAATGAGATTCACCTGCCAGTGGCTTCTTTGCATCCTAATCAGCCAGTGCGACACCTCCTCCCAGCTCAGAAAGTGCCCTCCTACCCACAGACCAACTTGGGCCTCCTCCAGGGTCATCTGGCTGCCATCTAAGCTGTTCTGCTCAGGCTTCACGGGTCATCTGCTGTGTGACTGTTTACTGGGGAGACACGCTGTCTCCCTTTCTGTTCTCCCCACGCCCTGCGCACTGCAGCATCTTCTAAACCACTTGCACCTGGGGCAAAATGGCATGCAGCTGAGTTGTGGGTCAGGCACGGGGAGTACCTGGGATCTCAGACAAGGTCTAATGACCCCCCACACACACACACCCCTCCTTCTACGCAGGCTGGCTCGTGTTCAAGACTTCCTGCAGGTAACAACAGCTGCTCTTACAGCAATGGTGACGCCTGGGATCTCAGACAAGGTCTAATGACTCCCCACACACACACCCCTCCTTCTACGCAGGCTGGCTCATGTTCAAGACTTCCTGCAGGTAACAACAGCTGCTCTTACAGCAATGGTGACAGTGGCCTGCCGTGCTTGGAGGACTGGCTCGCACAGCAGTTCTCCAGGAAGCGACCATCTCCTTATCCAGAAAGATGAATGGAGGCATATTCATTTTCCCCCAGAGTCTTGGAGCAGTTTTAAAACATGCCGTAAATTCCAAAAGATGACTGTAGTGACGATCCCACCTGGACTCATCAGTTATCCTGTATGCTGTCTTCCCTCTACCCATCCTTATCCTAGAGCCACCGATTCTTAGTGGTGACCAAGGTGTGGCCCCCAATGGCTCAGCACATTCTCCCAAGAACAAGACAAAATACAAGCCAATAATTGTGTGCGCTGGTTTTCTTGGTCGCTGATCTTATTGCTGTCTTTAGTCATACATTGACCTTCGGAAGCACCTGGTGGGCTGACCTTTAAAATAACCCTTTTAAAATTCCCCCTGGTGGTGTGCCTGGCTGTGCTCCTGCACTTCCTGTCATAGAAAAGGACCTGGGCCTCAGCTGGACACTGTGTCCCACTGTCCAAAGGCCCTGGGTCTCACCTCGACATGCTAACCTTGATGATGAGCTCGGGGCCCTGCCTCTCAGCTGTAAGAGATTTCTCCAGTGTGATTCCAGAGCATCATTGAGTTTCACCTGCCTGGTGGGGGAGGAGGCACGGAAGCAGCACGGTACCAGATCCGTCCGGTCTTGGGCTTTCTGGTGGAGTGTGTCAAGGGGAGCAATACTCATCAGTCAAGACAGAGGGAAGACTGGCAACCAGACAGACAGGCACACCACAAATCTCCCTGGTGTTTCCTCGCTTCCTACTTCCTCAAAACAATGACTTTGCTCTTAGAAGGTGCACCTGAGTGTCTAGGCACCTGGGACAGGACGGAAGGATTTGCCTTAGGTAATACTAGAGCGCCACCTAGTGGTCTTCGGGGCCAGGGCCTCTCATTACCTCTAGAAGGGGTTCCCCTGCTGGCGGAACGATTCCCAGCTCTGATGGACACCTTGGGGATGAAGGAGACAGCCCGGGATGCCAGATGTCACTTCCCCTAACTCACTTGTGAAAGCGGCATCATGTGGCCACTACCCATCTCCCCTAGCCGTCAGAAAAGCAGGTGCACAACAGCACTTGACATTTCCTCGCTGATCATGAGAACAAGCCCTTCAGTGCCAGGCCCACATCTGTCCAGTGATCACAGGAGTTTCCTCTAGGTAGGGCCAGGACTATATCAGTACCCAAAAAGTCAGGGTTGTTTCCAGGTCCCAGAACTGAGGCTGGATCCCTCTAGGGGTGCAGTGGACCCAGAAGGCTCCCTCCAGACCTCAGGCAAGGCTCTCCCTAGGCTGAGCCCCACTTAAAGCTTGAAGGCAGGAAGCTGGGGTGGATCTGTCCAGGCAAAGCCAATGAGAGCAGAGGGCACCAGACACCTCAGGCACTGGCTAGCTCCTGGCCAACCTGAACTCACTTTGGCTGAGAAGTTGGAGTAAAGTGGGAAAGAGGATTCCACGTTTGTTCATTTGAGTTTACGGTAGACACAGTGGGGCCACCTTCCTCGGTGACATAACAATGTTCCATTTTGGGGTGTTCTCTGGGGTTTGCTTTATTCTGTTAGTTTTGTTGTTTGTTTTGTCTTTGTTTCACTATGCAGCTCAGAACAAGCTTGCCTTTCTCCTGCATCAGGCTTGCATGCCCTGGAATTAGAGGCCTATATCACCACACTCAACAAAGGTGTGTCATTACAGACTCAACAGCTTATCACACTCCCAGAAGCAAAGTTTTTTTTTTTTAAAAAACAAAACAAAAGCCAGCTTTGCCCCCACTAAATGGCCACATTTGAAATGCCTCCATCTTGCCATAGCAAATGTCAAGAGAGAGACCCTCTGGGGCTTTCCTCCCTAGACAAGGACCTGAGTTTCTCTATAAACACAAGAACTCATGATGCAAATAACACAATCACCATCAGGACAGACAGCCAACACAGGCCAATACCTATGCCCACCCTCGTTACACTTGCCCGAGACCTCACCTTGTTTAATGCCCACAAGCCAGACAGTCTTATGTGTGCAGAAAGACTGTCAGGTCATGGGTCCTAGTGAAGCCCTGTGAAGTGGTCAGATTGTCAAGACATTTAATATTTAGAGAGAAGGACACATAGACAATGCAGGGGAGACTCTAGAGTCCTGGCACCATCAGAGAGAAGCCCGGCTCTGTCCATTCCCAGCTGGAAGAGGGACACTTCCATCCCAGGCACTCCAGACTCTGTCTCTCCAGGGTCATCTCACTGAAACATGACACCTTTGCCTCATCGCTCCATTTCTTCCTTGAGTGATGCCTTTATCAGCCCCTTCTCCCCTGGCAACTCCCAGGACCACGGTGGTCCAGTTATGGACCAGAAGCCCCAGGATAAAGCATCTGTCTTCCCATCACATGGATCAGAGAATTTCCCCAGTTCATGCTTCTGCTCTGCTTTGTTTAGCTCTCCTGTGCTGTAGCAAGGCAGCTGAATGGGACCATCCAGGTGGGGCGGGCACACTGGCTCAGGGCACCCAGGAATGGGGTGGTGTCTGGTAAGGTGGGGCTGACAGTTCTGGGACTGGATCCTATCCCTGACAGTTCCCAGCAGCTTTGGCAAGCAGTTATTGTTCTGGAAGCCTCCAGGGCTCAGGCATAATCCATCTTCAACAGAGAATACGAAGGGAGGACCAGCCACCAGCCATCTTCTCAAGACGTCACGTCACTCCACACAATCTCCTGCAGTGGCAGCAACATAGCATCTGTCATGGACAGCACTGGCTCTTCCTGGCAGCGGGTTCCTGGCTCAGAGACACCGCCTCACCTTCCTGTGAGCTGCTCCCCCTGTCTCCTGCTCTCTGCAGTAGCTCCTGGGCTGTAGGAAACAGGGGTTTACTGGAGAGGGAATCCCGGCCCAGCAGAACCCTGACCCAAGCCCTCAGGCCCCTCCCAGCCCCAGGACACCGGAAGAAGACGCAGGGGAAGAAAAACAGGGGTTTACTAGAGAGGGAATCCCGGCCCAGCAGAACCCTGACCCAAGCCCTCTGTATCACTCTTCCTCAGGCCCCTCCCAGCCCCAGGACACCGGAAGAAGACGCAGGGGAAGAGAAATTAATTATTAGAAAAACAACTGTCATAATCCAGCTCTAGTTTTGCAACTAATCCATCTATCCATCAATTTATGTATCCATTCAACAAATAAGTATTGAGATGTAGTAGAGTTAACATCTTTCCTTGCCATGGCATCAAAAATATCTAGATTCCATCTACCCTTACACCACATGCCAATTAAATCATTTCTGCAGATTCTTTCCAAAAACCTGCCCCCTTTTCTGTTTATTCTTGTATTTTCTGTTCATTCTGAACTAAATTACTTGAAACATGATTATAGGTGGTCCATGCACTTTCAACACGCTTCTACCACTCCCCTCAACCCACAGAAGAGGCAAGTTGCACAGCTGGCTGTATTAGA